TCCCTACAGACGCTTTTCCCTTGCAGAAACCTCAGTTTCACTCTTCATTTGTGTATTTTGATCAGGTTCCTGCAACTTCACACTTGGCCATGTCAACCTGAGCACTACCTACACAGTGAAGTCATCTCTGTTTTCCACTTTGGATATTACCCCTTACACAGACCCGCCACTCCCTAGCATTCATGCTTACCCTGATTGCACACTGGCACTGGGGGATCCCAGATGCCATCATCCCTGCACTGGATCTCATGGCTGCTATTCAGGCTGTAGCCAGCACTACATTCAAACCTCACCCTGTCCCCAGGGCTGTACGTGGGGGTCCATTCATCTAGGTTTCTTCCATTTAGGATCTCTGGGTTTGGGCAGGTGACAGCTGGAAATGAAATGTGGAATGTGGGCGGGCGCAGAAGGGGCAGCCTGCTTGGTCAGCAGGGCTTCTGCCTCAGAGTTTGGTCCTGCTGCCCGACCCTGGCTGCCTGCTAGTGTCTGTGCACACTTGTGACTGATTTGAACAATGACGTTCTAAGAATCTGTTCCTTGCAGCTCTGGGACGTAGAGCCCAAACGCACCTTCACAGAGAGGAAGCGGGAGGCTCCAGGCTCCAGATGTTGTGCAGTAAATCGATCCCTCTCCCGCCAGGGAGTAGCCCGGCTCACAGCTGTAATTCACAGACATCCCCGGGGTGAATGTTTCCACGTCTCGGCTGCTGTGCTCGGCATGAGTGATATTTGGTGGCAGGGGGCACTGCCGCACTGCAGGGAGGGAAGATAGTGTGACCTGAACAGGCTCATTTCGGGTATTTCAAAAGTTACAAAACATTCCCCCAGCAAGCACAGAAGCCAGCCCAATGGTCTCAGCCAGAACTTTAGCTCAGTTCCCCAGGAACACTGCCCACCTATTGTCCCCCATCCCACCCACTTACCTCTGAGCATACAGCAAGAACAAATCATGGCCATGCCACCTTCACTTCCCCAAACCCCCCAACAACTTTTCCCAACATTAACGTCTCCATATTACTCTGATAACCAGGGCTGGCCTCAGAGCTCTTTTTGAAACAGGTAGACCCCAGTTAATTTAGGAGCCTGTCTAAATCAGAGGCCAGGGTTGGCTGGGCTTCATTTCTTTAGTGCTCTTTTTGAAACACGCAGACATAAGTTGTTATTAAAATGAGGGTGACAATCTGCTCGGTGACACAGATTAAGCCCAGTCCTTACCCCTTTCACAGACCAGGACTGGAGGGTCCCACGTGCCGTCGTCCTGGCACCGAGACTCGAGAGTGCCCTTCACGGCGTAACCTGCATCACATTCCACTGTCACAGTGTCTCTGGGGTTGTGGACAGGTTTGGCACCAGTTGCTTTTCCATTCTGGACTTTTGGAGATCCACACATAACTGCAGAGCAAGAAAGGGCATTAGAGCCTTCGGTTACCTCATCCTCATCACCAGTTTCCTGTTGAATCTACCCAGTTTTAATCCTCCTCTATATCTGACATGGAAATTCATCCCAGCCCAAACACCACGATCAGAAGTTGCCATAATGTTGCTGTGCCATCATATGGCAAATTCCAAATGCAAACTGAAGCAGCGGA